TGTCCATTCCTACTAACTAAGTATTCATTGTTCCAGTGATTCTACATCTGTTTTATACTCTTAAAAGAGTCACTGCAGGGCAGATGGGTGGTACAATGACCAAAAGAAAACGTGCTAAACTAAGTGTAATTAATGAGATTTTTGTGGGGAAAATAGTTTTTGTTGTTTCTATTGTTTCTTATCTTCAGTTCACTAAAATTCCTATCATTTTAACTCAGTGGTAGGGGGATCGGTTTCTGAAGTTTGGGGACAGCTGCACCGTAAAAATGTGAATTGCCTGTCATGATTTCTCCCATGTGTCCTGTAGGTGGTGGTAGAGCTCCCAAAAGGCAACGAGGCAGGCTCTCCAACAGATCTGGGTAACGCAGTCACAGTATTTCTTTGAGTGGGCTCACCTTTCTCACACATGTGGCATTGCTTTCAGCCCCGCTTCTTTCTTCTTTTTTTTTCCCCTCTCCCCTCTTGCAGGCCTCCGGCCTGGCGGCAAAGTGAAGTTGCTTCACAGCTCGTCCGTCCTCGCTGCTGAGAGGTGAGATTGATAAATGGCTCATGACGATCATCGGTCACTGGCAGCCGCAGGGCTTAAAATACACCGCAGAGTCTTGGCCCAGTGGAACACAGCTGTTATGTTGTTGCCACTCAATCCTGTTTGTTACATGCTGCATGCTCTTGATTTTGTCACCTCAACATTTGATGGAAACATACCTGCGCTCTTATACATGTGTTACGCAGAGAGGTGTGGTGAGGAAAACCTCAGACATCACTCTGTCTTAACTGAAGTATTTACTTTATTGTCTCTTTCCAATCTCTTGCACATACAGACAGCAACTTCCCCATATGGCCCACCAATGTGATGCAGTGTTGTCTTCCAGTTTGTTCCGTTGTTGTTTGTTTGGGAGTAATCTAACTTCTGACCTGTTCGTTTTATTTTTTCCCCCCCTCTATGCCTCTTTCCAAAGTCTCAGGGGGTCACCGCGAGATGTAGTTAAAACAGGGCCGCTGCACGCGCTGCTTTTAAAATTCCTTCCAACAGACTCCAATCATTTCTTTATTGGCACCAACATGGTGAGCTTAATTCATGTAATTTCAAATGAATCCCCTCAAATATTAAAAAAAATTATACTCCTGTAATATTTAGTGAAAGTGTACTAATGTGACTTGTGTGTAGGGGCTGGTCCACCATGGAACGAGTCACGGTTTGAAAGCACCCCCCAAATTTTACAGGTTTCAGGAGGTTGAAGTGCAGCCTGTCGATGTCACCTCAATCCACTTTTCTCCCTTCAGACCACACTTGTTCTTGGTGAGAGTCGTGCTTATTTACATCACATCTATTTTGGGAAATATGCAGACCGCTTAGATTAGCTTAGATAAAATGAGTAGGGACAAGAAATGTACCTGCAGCTCTAAAGCTCAAAAATGAACACATATCTTGTTATTGTAGTTTCTTTATGTTACAATATAAAGCACCTTGAAGCTACTCTGGTTGTGATTTAGTCCTATATATACATAAAACTGACTAGAACTGTAAATTCAGTTTGTATAGTTTCAAAGGAATGGAATGCAAAGACTCAAGAAACAAAACCATGGAGATTTATACCACTGTAGCCTCGAAAGGGTATATTTCAAATATTCTCTGTCCTTGTTTCAGGTGGGTTGTGGCAATGGCAGCATCAGGTTGCATGCAGTCAGCCATGAGCAGCCTGTGGCACAGTGGAAGAACAGTACAGCTGGCGAACCGGTGGTCTCCCTGCAGTGGGCCCAGACCAGAGCGACGGTCTTCTGCGTACTCGATGCTGCATGTAACCTCCACATATGGGACCTGTTGAAAGATGACACACAGCCTGTGGTCACTGAGAGAATGAGTGCTGACAGGTAATGTCACACACACGCAAGTGATAATTAAGCAAATTAGTTTATATTTGTCTTATATGTTGTTGTTTTTTTCTTCATTTTTTCCATTGTCAGGGTGACAGACATGGCTTTGTTTGGACAATCTGGAAAACAAAACACATATTCAGGAGTAGCACTGGCACACGAGTCAGGGAAAATCGAAATGCAGTATTTCAAAAGAAGTTTAACTGTGTCCAGCACTGCAGAAGAGGAGAAGCTGTTGGAGAGAATGACGACTGAAGCCTTTTGAAATGTGCTGTTCGTGAGAGCAAATACATCATTTCATAACCCTGTTTTCTGTTGCAGTTACTTTCTATAATAGAAGTCCTATTTTTTTGTTTTGTTTTATTTGAGCCAATGTCACCACGCACTGAAACAAAATTAACATAGTTGTGAGAAGGATGTAATTAAATACCAAGGATCTTCCACATTCATTACCATAAATATAGTATATAAAACATATGCACATTTGCTGGTGTAAATATTTGTACTTTTTGTTTACATGGAATATTTCTATGATGTTTCGTTTTATATAATAAACTATATATAGCTGTGCTTGTTTTGTTGAATGGTTTGGTGAATTTTTCCCATGGAGAGTGAAGTGCTTAAACTCCTGCAAACACAAACGAAACCAACAAATAATTTCAGTTTGATTGTATTTTATCTTAAAAAAATTAAAATTGGCTAAGAAGCAAAATTTAGAAGAATTAATAATAAAAGTTTCTTTTGCTTTTGAAAGGGTACGAGAGGAAATGTTTTAAAAAAAAAAATCACAATATTTTGATTTGGTTGTAAATTTTCTGTTGAAAATATTATTTCTAAAATATCAACTTAAGTAGTAGTAAAAATGATCATAGCTAAGTCTAAAAACTGCTGCTGCGATCAATAAAATTAGAAGTCACCAAGTCCTGATGGGAGACACCACACAGTGTTTGAGAACAACAGAGGGTTAAGGTTGTCTGGGACAAACAGCTTCCGGTTAATCAGCATGATATAGTGGCATCATAGACTGAAGGTCAGTTGGATCCGATTTCTAAGGTAAAGTTTTCAGCGTGGTTGCAGTGGTAATAGAAACATTAGTGGCTATAACCCCCAAACTGGAAAAGTGACTCCCACAAATTCCAGGCACAACATCAGAGGTCTTTTTCTCGAAGTGTGCAGTCTAGGAACAGCTATACGGAAGAGGATTAGGGCCACTGGAAAAAAAAGAAAAAAGAATTCTGACTTTAATCTCAGAATTCTGACTTTAATCTCAGAATGCTGACTTTAATCTCAGAATTCTGACTTTTTTCTCAGAATTCTGACTTTAATCTCAGAATTCCAGTGGCCCTAATCCTCTTCCGTACATATGAATTATTATGTAGTCTTAGTTGGCATTATTCTCCTGAATTAGAAGAAGGTGATAACTATTGCATTAGTTAAACTGATTTGCATTACATTAGACTGCTGATTTATTGTGGATGAATGATATTGTTTTATGATGTTATAAGAAATACTGTTTGCAGAAAGTCATCGCCTTATTTGTCTGATTAGAAGAGAACAGAACATACTGGAGTTTTCTGCCCCATCTCAGCAGGAGCAGATAAACGAGGGAGCCAAGGTCGTAGCTTAGGCGCCGTGTGAGAGAAAGCAATGTGAATGTTTAGGCTACCTGTATGTTATGGTGGGCCCTAGGCTATAAAGTTTCATCAATTGTCTCCATCCCCAATTTTTGAACTCGTAACAATTCCTTATTGGCCTACATTTGTACAAAATCCAAATTATATACACAAAGTCATAGAAATCACCACTCCAATTGGTCATCATGATTTTGATATTCTCTTTTTCCATAACAATGAAATACACCTTGGACAAATATGACACATCAATATTTCATTAGTGTTGTCACATCACATCCTGTAAGCATCGTCTGTCTGTGTCTTTTCCCTGGAAATGAATATTTCCAGCCAATACAGGCAATCCATCAACATGGCTGGAGAGTTATATATGTAAAAGGTTAACATATGTGTTTAAGTTGAAATGTGTGGCTGGTAAATCTGGATTACACTAATAGTTAAAAAGTTAAGAGATAAAAAGACTTATGGGGATGTTAGTTCAGTTTATGTCTTCATACAAGGAAAAAAGGGAACACCCCAGTTATATTTTGGTCTTTGTTATATCGTTCAGTGTTGATTCAGTATTTTCTAATTACACTTTACATCTTCCATGGCATTACTTAAAAAATACCACTAGGTGGCGCATAGCGGCCAGGAGGAGCGTAAAACCCCCCTGGGAGGCAAATCTGCAGAATAAATCCTGCAGTTGAATTGTAAACAAGTTCATGATCTGTGCCTCTTTATTTCAATACACAGCTGTGGGATCTAGGATCGCACCCCTCCCAGGCACCTGTCACACCAGGGGGGCAACATATACAGTCTGTATAAGTGTGGTTAATCTAATAAAGATTTGTAAGGAGATGGCAGTTACTGTGAATTCACAGCAGTTACACAGTGATTAGTAATAAACAGCCAGTGAGAGTGAGTGGATGTCTCCCACATGAAGACATCCAGGAGCCTCCACATCATGTGTAGAATCCCAGTCTTCTGCTGGATCCCTGCTACAGTTCTGGAGCACATGTTGACTACAGAGCAGAGAGGAGAGCTGCCCAAGACCCTGACTGACATGTACTCACACTTCTTGTTGGTTCAGATGAAGAAGGGGAACAAACATGTGGGGGGACATGAAACAAGTGAGATGGCTGAAAGGAAATTTCTTCTGAATCTGGGGAGGCTGGCATTTAAACTAATTTTCTGCTAATTTTCAGATGCCAGGTCTACATCTAGAATCAAAATGAGCACATACATAAACAACCAAAGTGAAGCATTAAGACAAAACATAGCAACGTCAAACAGGGTCCACACATTTTGCCACAAATACATGCAAAACAACTAAATTGGGCCACAAAAGTGATGTAAATTGACCAAACTAAGACACAAATCAGACAAAAACAGATGCAGGATGATCACAAACAGACACGTCGGCTACAAACTGATGCAAAATGACTAAAATCACACGTGTAACACTTTCTACATATTTGACAACAGAAGAAAAACACAAACAAACTTGGAATGTATTTTTAATTTGGATTTTTTTTATTTCATGCCGAATTAGATATTTTAAAAATCAAGCCAAATCACAAAGTCTCCTCCCTGTTTGTACTGTAAGGTCAAAGCCCTACTGTACTACAGAGAACCCCAACAATCTAATGATCCCCCTCTGAGCAAGCACGAGGCGACTGTGGGGAAGAAAAACTCCCTTTAACAGGAAGAAACTTCCAACGGAACCGGGCTCAGAAGGGACAGCCATCCGCCGCGACCGGTTGGGGGGATGGAAATCAAAAGGAGACGAGATGGCGTGAACTACAGTTCTAAAATTTGGATTTGAGGGCTGATCCCAAAATTTTATGGTGATGTTTTTAAAAAAAGGATTTGGTGCTAAAAGTCTGCTTCAAGATTTTAAAAGAAGCAGGGCAGTGGGAAAAGCCAAAATGGTCATTTTAATGATCTCTGGCTTTAGTGAACCACCTGAAGGGTTTTAGCAATGTTTTTCCCACCGCAGAAAAAAACCTGGATATTTTGGACGTCTTTGGGGGACCCGGGATGACTCCGAGGCTGATTTTTAGATGTCTAATCAGAGCCTCGTCAAAAGATGAATCATTTGCCATCGAAGCCTTTAAGACATTGTCTGGGGAGCCAAACTCCTTGATGAGGCGTTTGGCTATTTTCTTGATGAACTTTGTCTTGTCATTTGTCAGACTTGTGGCAGACGCTGTGCTGCTGAGTTCAGGCTGCATTAGATTGCTCAGACGATTGATGACCGTGTGTATTTCTTTTGTAGTAGTTGCGATCCGAGCAGCAGACTTTTGGGTCTCAGGTTTAGATTTATAGATGACTCTCGTGATAAGGAGCAACGCAAGGTCATTGGAAATTTTCTCAACATCAGAAGATGAAGCTGACACAGAACCCATCTCTGATATTTTGGAGGAATCTTTGAGAGAGTGTTTCAGGCTCAAGGCTCCAGATGATTTATCTGGAGAAATGCTCCCAGGTTGTGGCATTTGAGGTGGTTTTTCAGATGCCACAGAGCATTTATCTGGAGAAATGCTCCCAGATTTTGGTGTTGGAAGTGATGCACCAGATTCTTTTCCTCTGCCATCTGAAGCAGGGCTTTTTTCCTGTGTTGTGGTCTGTGTTCTTTTAATAAAGTTGTGGATGTCTTCCAGGGCCCCAGAAATCTTGTCCATTTGAACAATTTGATCTTTCTCTTCATTGCAGAAGAGTAAAAGCTTCTGCAAAAACCTTTCTACTGTGTCATCTATGAGGACATAGAGGACTTCAGCAGAAATGCGACGCTTTGAGCCCTCTACTGATTGTGGCGTCCTGGAGATGACCGTATCTGAGTGGGACCTACCCATTAGAGGTATGGGGATTTGATAGCCTCGATCCACCGTAAGTAGATCAAACACTTTTGCCACTAAGTCCTCCGTAAAATTCCTGATATGCCCACTATTTTTAAAGTCCCCCAAGGTCTTATCGATGAGGAAGAGTTCTTCTTTCTTTGTTAATTTGTCAAATAACTGATTAACGTCTGATATAATGACGTTAAAGTCGACTGAAGAAGAACGTTTAATTGCGGTTCCCAGGCTTGCCGTATGTCGAGAAGGGGAGCGATGAGCCTCTGTACTCTGGGGACCAGCCGTTTCAGGTACTGACCCCGGGAGAATGAAAACTATACTTTCATTGGAGGGCGCTGTTTCCTTCTTGGGGTGGCTGCAAATGTTTTGTAGACAAACAAAATGTTTCCTGTTTGCCTTTATTCTTTTTTTCAGCTCTGTTTTCATTTTTTCAAATTGTTTTTTTGCAAACATGGAAAAGTTGTGTTTGCGTGCTTTGAGCCTGGCGTGTGAGGTGGATGGCACACATTTGGAGAAGTGGTGTCTCACCTTGTGGATAATTAAGCCTGCATTAAAGGCAGGTTTGGGCAAGTTACATTTCTCACAGAGCTCTTCACTGCTTGAATCCATGTTAGCAAGTATCTCTGCGATGTCAGCTGCAACCATTTCTACTGGGGTTTGCGTTTCTGCAGTCGGTTTTATTTTGCTTTGTGCTGTTAGAGCTGATTCTTCTGGGAGCTCATCTTTATCTTTTCCTGTCATCTCTCCATCTGAGCTCCTTGTTGACAGAATAACAGAAATCTCTGCTGATCT